TTTTAAGCTGTACCACAAATAGAAACTGTGAAAAAGCGTCAACTACTATTAGCCACATAGACTGGAGCACTGAGCCAGCAAAATATGTATGTACTCATTGCCATGGTCTTTCTGGCTTTGGCCACTCATGGTATTTTTGTTTCGAACTTGCACCCGCAATTTGACAAACGCTGCATTGTGCAGCCAGTTTTTCAATGTCGTTATTAATATAATGCCACCAGCAGTGTTGCCTACCGAGTTGCTTCATCTTAACGATGCCAAAATGGCCGTCAAAGAGAAGCTTTAAAACTGACTGATGCAAGGATTGAGGTACAACGACTCGAGTAGCATCTGTCTGCAAATAAACCAAATCACCTCGAATGAAGAAATCATACTTACGAAAAAAATAAGGAAGCAAGTCCATGTCGCCATCGGCTAATTTTGTCGGCCACCCTTTCGATATGAAAATTTTTATTCGTTTTAGTACGTAATCGTCTTTGTAGTGCTGTTGTAGCAATCCGACGTTGATAAGTTTATCATAATTTTCTATTTAATAACAATTCTCCAACTTATCGAACTCAGGATCTAGCCCACAAGGCAGGCGTGATAAGACTTCGGCGTTTGAGTGATAGGCAGTTCTACGAAACTGTATCTTGAACTGATAAGACATCAATGTAATTGTCCAACGTTGCAACCGATGTGTAGACATTGAATGCAAATTTTTATTTGGACTAAAGATGCTTACTAAAGGCTTATGGTCCATAACCAGAATAAACTTATGACCAAACAAGTCCTGATGAAAACGATTAACTCCAAATATTATCGAAAGTGCCTCTTTTTCGATTTGGCTGTATCGAACTTGATGAGTGTTGTGTTCATGATGCGGAAGCAATGGGGCGCTCTGTGCCGTCTAGATTCCGATGAGCAAGGACAGCCCCATATGATGAGGCGTCAGTAACTAGGACTAATGGTAGGTGTTCTTGAACATTTCGGTTGCCTCTATTATGTATCGTTTTAGAGCTTGAAATGCTTGTTTCTGCTCAGTTCCCCAAACAAATTTGATATTCTTCCGACGTAACTAATTGATAGGAGCGACCAATTGCAAAAAATTTGGAATAAAGTTATGGTAATAATTCACTTTACTCAGAAATGCTTCGACTTATTTTATGTTTGTTCAGCGTAGCAACTTTTTTACAGCCTGAAAACCTTTTTCATCAGGTAAAACACCACTTGCACTAATTGTTCGACTTAAATATTCCAATTTTTCCACCAAAAATTCACATTTTATTTGTTTATAACCGCTTTCAATTAAAACTGATAAAATTTTTTCCAAGCATTGACGATGTATGACGAGTTTCAGCCGCGATGATTATATCTTCAATGTAATTGACACAACCTTCTACACCTAGTATAAGTTGTTCTAAATATTTCTGAAATATAGCAGACGCGCTGGTAATTCCATAAGGAAGCCGTTGATATTGAAAAAGTCCAAGGGGTGTATTGACTACCAAAACTCTTTTCGCTTCTTCGTCTAACTCGATTTGTAGGTAGGCATCCTTCAGGTCAGTTTTAGAAAAAAACTTTCCATATCGGACAATATGAAGTAAGCTTTTTCGCGTTGGTAATGGATATTGATCGATATCGATTTGTTTGTTCTATGTTTTTTTTGAAATCGCCGCAAATACGAAGAGACCCATCTGCTTTTGTAACTAATACAACTGACGAAGCCCACTCACTAAATTTTATTGGTTTCCAAATTCTACTATCAGTCAAGCGTCGCGGTTCTATTTTAAATGGATTTATTTGAGCGAATGGAATAGGTCGACTTTTACAAAATTTACTCACTGCCCCTGATTTTAAATGTATTTTTGCTTTAACTTGCTTAATTGAACTTATACTATTTCTCTTTCAATATTTATTTCTCTTCAATAATTCCGTTAATTGTGAATCATTGCTTATTAAGGCAATTTGGCGAATCTCATATCTAAATTTTTCAAAAAGGTCAGTGCCAAATAATTTTTGTCCATTACGAATACATACTACCACTAAGGTTGCTGTTCTCTTTGTTTCACCATATTTTAGTTCTGCACTAATCTCTCCAAGTGTGTTTACCCGATTCTTGCCGTAATCAAACAATTCTTTTTTACATGGACGCAACTTTGGTTTGTTTGATTGTTCGTATGCATCTAAGGTCAACACTGAAACAGTTGCTCCTAAATCCATTTGAAATTTTATTTGAGTATTATGTATTAAAACATCAATAAAAACATTTTTGTTGTCTTGATGCGATAAATTATTTATACTTAAAACAGAATCTATTTGTAAAATAGAATTATTTTGTGCACTTGATTTTTTTTTGTTCTAAGCTATGGGTAGTATTATTAACAGACATACAAACAGAAGCAATATGCCCTTTTTCCCACACTTGTTACACACAGCTTTTTTAAACTTACAATTTTGTCGCCTATGTGAAGATCCACAACCTGAGCATGATTTCAGCATGTTTTTTGTTTTTGTGTTTTTGTTTCACTATATTTGTTGATTTTGTTCATAAATTTAGCTTTGACAATGTTTACTTCAACATCGTCGTTTACTTTGTCTTTGATTTTGTTTACTGTTTTTTCCGTCGCTTCGAAAACTTCAGCAATGAGCATCACCTCTGAGAGTGGTGGATTAGTTTTTTGCATAGCGCTTACGCGAACAACATCGTGTAGAGTGTGTACAATCACTTTGTCGCGTATCATTTCCTCTGTATAATCGTGACCACATTTTGGTGCGCTGCGAATAAATTTGTACTCACGAGCGATTTTGCGTAAATCCGTTATCCATTCTCTGTAAGTTTGGTTTGTAGACATTGCTGTTTTGTGGAACTCATGTCTGGCAGCAACTACATGTGTTTTTGATTGGAATAATTCGGTAAAACTTTGCATTAATTCTTCAAATGTTTTGTTTTCCATCTCACTTGCATCAAAATTGCTGCGTAATATGTCGTATTTTTCTGTGCCTATCTAGGTCAGAAAAACAAATTTGAATCTTTCTTTTGTAATGAACCCCTTTACGTGGGGCAGTCTATAGCTGGGATAGTTCAACGGTGTCCAGGGTACTTACAAGACAATTTGTAGTTTTGGACTCGACTCCGATTCCCCGCGTAATTTCGTCTGATTCACCCGTCCCTAGCCTCTGTTTTATTCAAAACCACAGTACTTTTATATCTACTTCTTCTTTATTGGTATTACATATATTATTCCAGTATACTAGAGTTTACAATAAATTTTATTTTTATTACGATATAGAGATTTTATCTTGAGCAATATAATTCTTAACAAAAATATCTTAACAATTTTCATAAATAGAAAAAAAATAGAATTTATATATACAAGTCTAGATATTATTTCACTACAATAGAGTTTACAATAAACTTTATTTTATTATCATATAGAGATTTTATCTTGAGCAATATAATTCTTAAAAAAAAATATCTTAACAATTTTCATAAATAAAAAATCGAGTTTATATATACAAGTCTAGATATTATTTCAATACAATAGAGGTTACAATAAACTTTATTTTATTATCATATAAAGAGATTTTATCTTGAGCAATATAATTCTTAAAAAAAATATCTTAACAACTGAAGTAAATACAACCGACAAGATTGACAGTTTATATTTAACTCAATTTAGTTTACATTTCATTATTTAAGATTGTTTAAACTAATGCAAAACATACTAGATTATAACACTTTCTCCGCCCTTAATTTTTGACAAAGTTCAAGTTTTCCTGAAATCGTCGGATTCAAATCGATTTACATCCTTCCGAATACGACAACTTTTTCGAAGTTGAACTACTTCGGTAGAACGTTCTTCACTAGGCATTAATGTTGATTGGCTAGATGAAGGCGGTGGGGCATTGATGAAATTTGGAGTGAATTCAAAAATTGGTTGTGAAGAGAGGTCAGAGCTACTTCTAGTTTTAAGCTGATTAACATGACGTTTGATGTAACCAAAAGATGTGTTCACTCGGTAAACCATTTTACCAAGTTGTTTCACAATAACTCCTTTTATCCATTTTTCCCCTCTTGCGTAGTTTCGAGCGAAGACGGGTTGCTTTAGACTAAATTTCATTTTCCGTTTCGAAGCTTCAAGGTGCTTTCTAGGCGATTCAAACAGTTGACTCAACAAGGTACGAACAGGCCTTCCATGTAAAAGTTCTGCAGGTGATTTACCCTCAGCATTCGGCATTGCACGATATGTTGCAAGATATTTTGATACAGCGAATTTGAGAGACAATCCATCGTCAATGTTTTTCTGAACAGCAGTTTTAAAAGATCTGACGAATCGTTCGGCTAACCCGTTTGAGGCTGGATGAAACGGCGCTGTTGTTATATGTTTGATGCCAAGTTTTGAGCAAAACTGTTTGAATGCTTCAGCTGTAAATTGCGGACCATTGTCACTTACGATGGTTTCTGGTATACCTTCCAGAGAAAATATAGAAGACAATGCTGATATGGTGTCAACCGTTGTTGTTGTAGATAGTTGTACAACGAACGGAAATTGTGAGAAAGCGTCGACACAAATTAGCCACATTGAATTACAAAATGGACCAGCAAAGTCGATATGTACTCTCTCCCAAGGTCGATCAGCTTCAGGCCAGCTTACGTATTCACGTGCGTGAACAGGATTTGCAATTTTGCACACATCACAATTTTCAGTTAATTGTGCGATGTCTTTGTCAATATTAGTCCACCAGACATGTTGTCGAGCTAGCTGTTTCATTCTCGATACTCCCCAATGACCATCATGAAGAAGTTTAAGAATTTTCTGCTTAAGGGAGGCTGGAATGACAACCCGGTTGTACTCCGTCTGGAGGCAAAGCAAATTGTTGTTTAGTATTAAAGCAAAGCGATGATTGAAAAATGATCGAAGATCAGCATCTTGAGGCATTAGCTTTTCAGGCCAACCGTTTGTAACGAGAAAATAAACTCGGCGAAGAATTGGGTCATTTTTGGCATGCTGACGAATTATTTCAGCGTCGATAGGTGTGTTAAGTTCATTGATGTTGAAACAGGATTCTTCATGATCAAAAGTTTTATCTTCACCAACAGGTAAACGAGATAAAGCATCGGCATTTCCATGCTCAGTAGTTTTACGATACCGAACATCATACTGATAAGCCATTAGTATAATAGCCCATCGCTGTAAACGATGTGACGTCATCGACGGCAACTGCTGAATTGGATTAAAAATGCTAACAAGAGGTTTGTGGTCAGTAACCAAGGTGAATCTTCTTCCGTATAAATATTGATGGAAACGCTTGACTCCAAAAACGATAGCTAGCCCTTCCTTCTCTATCTGACTATATCGTCGTTGATGAATGTCGAGAGTTTTAGATGCAAAAGCAATAGGCCTTTCTGTACCGTCAACGTACGTATGCGAGAGCACGACTCCTATGCCATAGGAGGAGGCATCTGCAGCTAGAACCAACGGTAAATCTTCCTGATAATGTGCTAATTGCGCTGCATTGAGAATATGCGTTTTAAGAGCTATAAATGCTTGTTGTTGTGCTGTACCCCATGTGAATTTTACATTTTTTCGGCGCAGCATGTTGATTGGCGCGGATAATTGCGAAAAATTAGGTATAAAATTATGGTAATAGTTTACCTTACCCATGAATGCTTCTGCTTGCTTTAGATCTTTAGGCGGCTGCAGGTTTTTGACTGCTTTTAGTCCTGACTCATCTGGCAATATACCTTTTGCACTAATTTGACGCCCGAGATACTCGATTTTATCTCGTAGAAAGAAACATTTTTCTTGCTTGCATCTGATACCATTTTGTTGCAAAATACGAAGTACTTGTTCTAGGCGGCTGATGTGTTGTTGAAATGTAGGTGCGGAGATGATGATGTCATCGAGATAATTTCCACAACCTTCTACGCCTTGAAGTAACTGCTCAAGATATCTTTGGAATATAGCTGGAGCGCTTGCAATCCCAAACGGTAAACGTTGGTATTGGAATAAACCAAGTGGAGTGTTGACAACCATTATTGTTTTTGCTTCATCGTCGAGTTCCATTTGTAAATACGCATCCTTAAGGTCGATTTTTGTAAAATGTTGACCGCAATGAATTTTATGGAAAAGACTTTCGCGTATGGGCAAAGGATATTGTTCAATGTCAATTTGCGCATTGACTGCTTGTTTAAAATCCCCACAAATTCTTATGGAACCATCAGCTTTTGGCGCTAGTACAATAGGCGAAGCCCATTGGGAAAACTTCACAGGTTTCCAAATACCCGCATTTGTCAATCGATTGACTTCTTTCTTGAAAAGTGACATTTGCGAAAATGGAATTTGTCGGCTTTTGTAAAATTTCGGATGTGCATTTGGCTTTAAAAAAATACTGACCTTAAAGTTTTTTATTGTGCCAAGAGCTGGTTCAAAAATATCACCATATTTCTTACACAGCTCGCTAATTCTGTGTGATTCACTTTCAAAAATGTTACAAATTTGTTGAATCTCAAACCCGAATTCTTTAAATAAATCGAAACCGAATAAATTGTTACAGTTTTCGACATCCACGACAACGATTACCACTTCCCTTTCTTTTCCGCCACATTTGATATCTACGCAAAGTTCACCAAGCACTGGAATTTCATTTTTGCCAAAACCAAATAAGGTTTTTGTACAATTTCGCAACTTTGGGCAATTTAGAGTTTTGAATGTTCGCTTATTTATTAAAGAAACTGTTGCACCAGAATCCATTTGGAAAGACACAATTTTATTACAAATTTCCAAGTCAATGTAATTCTTATTGCTTTCAGTTTTTACAATACCTGTTAGACTGTTAATTGTTTCAACAGTACCGATGTTGTGACTTTTACGACGATAATCCTTCTTCTTGTTTTCATCACCTGAACTACGTTTGTTGTTCTTGTTTTGTTTTGACATGCACACTGGCGCAATATGTCCAATTTTGCTACATCTATTGCAAACAGCATTTCTAAATTTACAGTTTTCTCTTGCATGAGAGTTTCCACAGCCAGAACATGATTTGAATTTTACTTTATTATTGTTATTGTTGAAAACACCCGGTTTTTTTATAATTGTACCAACTGAATTAACAGGCATTGAGTTTTCGATCGTTTGTTCTTTAATTGTTGCCACCGTTTTAGTGGTTGTTTCGTACAATTCTGCAATCTGCAAAACATCAGCAAGTGTCGGCTGGGGCTTTTGGAACGCAGCCGTGCGCACTGCATCGTGAGGTGTACGTATAATAATTTGGTCACGAATCATATCATCCACGAAATTGTGTAAACAATTCTGGGCTGAGCACGAAAAGTTACACTCTCTTGCCAATCCGCGGAGATCGGCTACCCACTCTCTGTATGATTGATGTGGCTTCATTTCCCTTTTGAAAAAATCGTAACGTGCAGCGACCACATGTCGTTTCGACTGGAAATGATCCGTTAGTTTTTCCGTTAAATTTTCGAAAGATTGTTCTTGTATTTTCGTGTTACCGAAAAGATTTTTTAGCAGCTCAAAATTTTCTGTGCCAATCCAAGACAAGAAAAATGATTTTTGTTTTTCACTGCACTGAACTGAATATGCTAAAAAATGTTGGTTAAGTTGTTCTAAGTACGATTCCCAGGTTTGCTGTTCTTTCGAAAATTTGTGAAATACTGGAACAATGTTGTTATTTCTTTCAGATACACCGGCAGTACCTTGTTTTTGGAACATTGAGTCCATCCACTCACGTTGTTGTTTCAGTAAATTTTTTGAGAACTCTTGTTGTTCTTTAAGCAATTGCTTATAAATTTCACTTTCGCCCGGCATGATTGTATGTAAAATTGAACGGTACGAAATAAGCGTGAAAGCGATTGATTAATTGCAGATTTTTATCCTCGTCGCCAACTGAAGTAAATACAACCGACAAGATTGACAGTTTATATTTAACTGAATTTTGTTTACATTTCATTATTTAAGATTGTTTAAACTAATGCAAAACATACTAGATTATAACTTTCATAAATAAAAAAATAGAGTTTATATATACATACAAGTCTAGATATTATTTCAATACAATAGAGGTTACAATAAACTTTATTTTATGATCATATAAAGAGATTTTATCTTGAGCAATATAATTCTTAAAAAATATCTTAACAATCTTCATAAATAAAAAAAAATAGAGTTTATATATACAAGTCTAGATATTATTTCAATACAATAGAGTTTACAATAAACTTTATTTTATTATCATGTAGAGATTTTATCTTGAGCAATATAATTCATAAAAAAAATCTTAACAATTTCCGAAGGCGCCGGGATATAAAGTATTAACGCGTTTATAATTATTCCGCACATAGGTCGAAGACGCAGATATATAAAGTATTTAAAATTTAATTTAGTCAAAGCACAGATCGAAGACGCAGGAATATAACCACGATTCCTCAGCGTATTTTGCATTTGTTCGAACCACAAGTCGGAGACGCAGGAATATACAGTATTAACGTATTTATAATTATTCAACGCACATGTCGAAGACGCAAATATATAAAGCATTTAAAATTTAATTTAGTCAAAGCACAGATTGAAGACGCAGGAATATAACTACGATTTCTCAGCGTATTTTGCATTTGTTCGAACCACAAGTCGGAGACGCAGGAATATACAGTATTAACGAATTTATAATTATTCAACGCACATGTCGAAGACGCAAATATATAAAGCATTTAAAATTTAATTTAGCCAAATCACAGATCGAAGACGCAGGAATATAACTACGATTTCTCAGCGTATTTTGCATTTGTTCGAACCACAAGTCGGAGACGCAGGAATATACAGTATTAACGAATTTATAATTATTCAACGCACATGTCGAAGACGCAAATATATAAAGCATTTAAAATTTAATTTAGCCAAATCACAGATCGAAGACGCAGGAATATAACTACGATTTCTCAGCGTATTTTGCATTTGTTCGAACCACAAGTCGGAGACGCAGGAATATACAGTATTAACGTATTTATAATTATTCAACGCACATGTCGAAGACGCATATATATAAAGCATTTAAAATTTAATTTAGTCAAAGCACAGATCGAAGACGCAGGAATATAACTACGATTTCTCAGCGTATTTTGCATTTGTTCGAACCACAAGTCGGAGACGCATGAATATAAAGTATTAACGTACTTATCATTATTCAACGCACATGTCGAAGACGCATATATATAAAGCATTTAAAATTTAATTTAGTCAAAGCACAGATCGAAGACGCAGGAATATAACTACGATTTCTCAGCGTATTTTGCATTTGTTCGAACCACAAGTCGGAGACGCATGAATATAAAGTATTAACGTACTTATCATTATTCAACGCACATGTCGAAGACGCAGATATATAAGTATTTAAAATTTAATTTAGTCAAAGCACAGATCGGAGACGCAGGAATATAACTACGATTTCTCAGCGTATGTAGCATTTGTTCGAACCACAAGTCGGAGACGCAGGAATATAAAGTATTAACGTATTTATCATTATTCAACGCACATGTCGAAGACGCAGATATATAAAGTATTTAAAATCTAATTTAGTCAAAGCACAGATCGAAGACGCAAATATATAAAGTATTTAAAATTTACTTTATCTTATCGTTTTCTCGGCTGCTCAGTTCTTCAGTACCTCGCTTCTTCTGGTGTCTGCCAAAGCCACGTGCCAGTTCATACCTTCACTGATATTTCCCATAGGGTACTTCTGAAGCCTCCTATGAGATTTCTCTATCTGGCAACTTTTAAAGCTCCCAGATCGGTATCCTGGGCGCGCAATGGTCCAGCAACTATTATCCGCAACTGATATTAAAAAAAACGTTCACTCTGCTTTAGGATGATGTTCAAAAAAAAACGTTCACTCAGCTCTAGGATGATAAAAAAAACGTCCACTCTACTCGAGGTTGATATTCAAAAAAGAGACCGAATTCACATTTTTATCCCCTTTTATTCGATCTTGTCGACGCTTTTGATCCCGCTATCCTCAAGTTTGCATTTTTTTCCATATAAGTATTGTTTTTACTTGTTTACCATTTATGCCCATGCTTATTATTTTCTAAGTTTTTTTTTTTCTCTGTGCAGAATTGTTCTTGGCCGTTTACGGCTTGCTGTTGTGATGCATTTTTTTTTGTATAAGTTTTGTTTTTGCATGTTTACAATTTTTGCTCATGCTTATTTTTATTATTTGCATAAATACGTTAGGGCAGCGTGGTATTATGTAACCCTTATTTTTTTTTTCAGGGAAAAATAGGGTCGTTACACT